AGAAAGCAAGGAATAAAGTTTGTGCAAACCTTTAAAGAGAAAACGTACTTTTTGTCCTATGGTAGCACACTTTTTTCAGTGACCACAACAGTAACACGAAGCTAGGCAGCAAGGAGTGGCATAGACCTGGGGGTTGGTGTTTCAGACTCTTCCTATTATGTCAAAAAGAGCTTGTGCTAGCATTGGGCTATAGTCTGCACAAAACTTCTTTTGTGTTTTATACTCCTTTGATAAAATTACAAGTCATTGGAATTAACTACTGTTCTAATTTCTCTTGATGTAAAATCGTTTCCTGGAAGTATCGATATATTAGTAAAAATTTGAATTTGGGACAGTTAAGAGGTGCTAGTTTGGGGAAAGGCTACAAACAGGTTGCAAGACAGATAACCATGTTTCTTCCAGAAATTTGAAGATTATACCTTCTGCTTATTCTTGAAATGAATGTAAATGTCTTCAGTCATACTGAAATTCCACTGAGATTTCTTACCATAATTTCAATCTCTGTTTTTCAGTGCTATTCTAGCATAGCATTTAATTCTAACTACTGGATTGTGTATTTTAAATCATATTGAATCTGTTCTTTCTTCTTGTCCTTTTTTGTTTCTTCTTAGAACAACTACATGTTTGAGCCAGCCATGATGGAAGTAACCTTCCAACTGTGAAAACAGGGCAAAGTACACTCTTCAAAAGCAGTAGGCCCAAAACAATTACGAACTAAACTCCTTGATTATAATTTCAATTGCATGTGATTGTCAGTACCTAAAAACTACAAATGCTAATCCATTTCTGACTACTTTAAGGGAATCCTGGAGAATATCGTCTTTCTCTCGTTTTGGAAAGAGAACACAATTTTCAGTGTTGCTGTGTTTAAATATGGTAGTTAGAACACCATAAACTTTGTTTGCATTTGGAGATATTTTGAGACACTGATTTCAAATGCCAGCATCGGTGCTAGGACCTGAAAACAATGTAGCCTTTACAAGAAGGTTCTAAATTCTAAGTGCAATATGAAAAGGAGGAAGCAGCCATCTTAATATGCCAGAGTAAAAATAAACTCTGATTTGTAGAATCTTTGGGAGTCAGAGCTTTTAAGTTGTATTGTTTCCTAATTCTAAAAATTGCCATCCTATTTATCTATAAAATAAAATCTTTTCAATGTTTATAACACAAGTCTGTTAATGCAGATACATATCAGTGGCTTTTTTTTTTTTGTTCATGTTTGTTGCTAGATAGCTGTGCTAGCAGTCAGCTGCTGTAGCTTACTCCTGTCCTTCCCTCAGTGCGAATGTTTGGTTGATCTTTTCGTTGTCCTTTTATGCCCTGTGCCCCAGTTACTTGTCTGTATCCTGAAGTTTTGGGGCTGGCTGGCTGAAACTGAATCCCTCTGTCATTTCTCTACTTGTGTAACAGGGAGGTAGCTCTGGCTGGACTGTGTTTTTTAACTTGATGCTTTAGTTTTTAATCTGAGCAGTTAATATTGTATCTAGATGGAGTTATTTAGAGCAACAACAGAAGAGGAAGCATCAAAAAATAGAAAACAAAAGGGAGAACTGCCCAAGTTTCTGAAGTGCAATCATGTGGCCTTTAGCAAGTTCATCAGCATGTCTGATGTGATGAGCCAAGCTGTCTGGATGTGGAGCACGTGTTGGGTGCAGCCGTGATTTGCAGAATGGAGGCTTGAGTTTGTAGACTTTTCCATCAGAAGTCTGTCTTTGGATTAAAGCTGTCAGCTGTGAGCT